CAGTCATATCCCAAGTCCTCAAAGAGTTAAAGTTAATGAGATAATCATGGAGATGATGGGTAAAAAAGGGTAAAAATAGAAAATAATTTAGATCTCATTTATCATTTATGAAAACACAACTTAGCAAAAGTAAAATTGAAAAAAGGAGAGAAAATGGCAGTTATTCATTTATGAAGTAACTGAATTATTTTATTTTTTTAAATTAACGTTTGGTTTAATTTTTTTTATTTTTGCATTTGCACCATATGGTCTGAAAATTAAATTGCGAAGCATTACACAGACCGTGAATAACCAGCGCTCTCTTCCACCCTCAATACCACGAGACACTTGAGCAAGACACTGAACAGGAATATCCACCAGAGCTGTTGCCCGTGAATTGAATGTTAATTTCTCTACCATGAGCCGTCTCCAAAGACGTTTCAGAGAATTTGGCAGTACATACAAATTTATTTGACTAACTTTCAACATATTTTTTTAAATTAAATGTAGCTAAAATAAATTGTTTGCGATCTTTGAGTTCAGCTCATGAAAAATGGGGGCAAAAACAAAAGTGCTGCATTTATAATTTTGTTCAGTGTGTGTGTTTCCATATCCCTACTATTACTACCACTCACAAACCACACATCACACACTATAGGCAGCGCAATCATAACAACCTGTGCACTTTGCCTATATCTGCTAAAACACTACTTTCTTTTTCTTTTGGTCTCTGGAATTGTCAGTCTGCAGTAAACAAAGCAGATTTCATTACTAGTCCAGGTGATACGTGAAAATAATGTTCCGCTCTTTCATCCCTCTGCGGTGGCTCCCTGTAGCATGGGTGTACAATACGCGGGGGAAGTGTCCCCCCGACTTTTAATAAAACCTAAACTCTTCCCATGCACTTTTTCTCGGGTAAGTGTGTTCACATAGAGGTTTTCAAGGGCCAATGTGTATAAATCTGGATTTAAATTAAAAGAGACAATATAGTCACGTTGTTTTGGATACGTTTTATTCTTATCCAAAACGATGTGAACATCATGCAGCGCTGAACACTCTCATGCGCTGTATGTTTCATTCATACTCGAAGCCGGAGGGAGCTCTCCTACAGAAAGTCCAAAACGGACTCATATGATAGAAGTAACTTTTGATGCCAGGAAATCCCTAATATGGACAAAGGCATCCCGCTATCACTGTAGCTAAGTGGAATAACAAGCATAAACCTTAAGTGATGAAACGTAAAGACAATAAATGATTGCGATATGGTTTATGTGTGTATTTCAAGTTTTTTATATGAATGATACAGTGGTAATTTACATAGCATTAATTACAGTACAGAAGCTATAAAATATATTTTCTGCCTTATTCTGTGATAAAAATGGAAAAAGTGTTTGTAGTATGTAAACTATTATACTGATTATACAATCATAACCATAAAATTGTCATGATTAAAATATATATCAAAAATATTATAAAAGACAAATGATTGGTTATTGTCCAGCAGTGTTTTTTATTTCTTAGCCAATTAAAAGTAAGAGATAAGAAAGTTTTTTTTGTCAATTAGACATAAACAAATAAATATTATTAGGCCTATTATCATTACATTTGACATTTCTGTCCCCCTCACTTCTGAAATGATTGCTGTGGGGTGTTTTCCCCTCAGCATTTAGACAGGCTCGTATAACCCCTCTACTTAAGAAACTCACCCTTAACCCATCTCTTTTAGAGAACTACAGACCGGTTTCCCTTCCTCCTTTCATTGCAAAAACACTTGAAAGAGCCGTGTTCAACCAAGTCTCAGCCTTCCTCACACAGAACAACCTCCTGGACATCAACCAATCTGGCTTCAGAAGTGGACATTCAACTGATACGGCCTTGCTCTCAGTTGTTGAAGCCCTAAGACTGGCAAGAGTGGATTCCAAATCTTCAATACTTATATTGCTGGATCTGTTCGCTGCTTTTGACATGGTTAACCACCAGATCCATCACTGATGCCATGTAGACAGAGAAGAGAAGTGGTCCAAGAACAGAGCCCTGAGGCACTCCAGTAGTTAGATGTTGTGACTTGGACACCTCACCTCTCCAAGATACCTTGAAGGACCTATCTGAGAAATAAGACTCAAACCACTGGAGTGCGGTTCCTGAGATGCCCTTTGCCAGTAGAGTTGACAGGAGGATGGTTCCATCAAACCCATCGTTTCATCACAATTTCACCATCCAGTTAGGCACATCAACCATGACTCCTTCAAAAACAACCAGAAACCTTGGAGTTATGACCACATTGCTAAAAACTGCCTGGTCCCACAGAAGATCAGGCCCTTTCTTTTGGAACATGCTTCACAACTCCTTGTTCAAGCTCTTGTTCTGTCTAAGCTGGACTATTGCAATGCTCTCTTGACAGGTCTTTCAGCCAGTTCTATCAAAAGTTTATAATTAATCCAGAACGCGGCAGCAAGACTAATTTTTAACGAGCCGAAAAGAATGCACGTCACACCTCTGTTTATCAATTTGCACTGGCTACCAATAGCTGCTAGCATAAAATTCAAGGCATTAATGTTTGCCTACAAAACCACCACTGGCTCTGCACCCCTTCACCTAAATTAATTACTTCAGTCTTATGTGCCCTCTAGAAGCTTGCATTCTGCAAGTGTATGTTGCTTTATTGTGCCATCTCAAAGAGGCACAAAATCACTTTCACAGACTTTTAAATTAAATGTTCCTGTGACGAGTCAGTAGCTTGATGATCCATATGCAGTTTATTAGACAAAAGCAGTACAAGGCAGGGCAGAAAACAGCAGTAGAATAGGATAACCAGCAGTAGACGTAATCCAGAGAACGGGCAGAGAATCGGGGCAGGCGGCGACCAAACACAGTCGATAAACAGGCTAAAGGGGTCGGGGCTGGCAGCAAGAATCAGAACACGAGATAAACAGTCCAGGCCAATACACAGGTAGGCAGAATAAAAGAAAATGCTCAGAAATTATCACCGGGGCAAATCAAGACTTCGCACTGAAGAGCAGATAATAGTGCCTTAAAAGGTGTGTGTGTGAGATAATTGAAGACAGGTGCAGAGTGATCAGTCCCAGGTATGAAGGCTGATGGGAAACTGAGTCCGAATGAGGTGGTTAATACTCAGGTGAAGGCTCCCTCTGGTGGTGCGAGAGACGTAGTGCGGGAGCCTCATTTGTAACAGTTCCATCCTGGTGGAATGACCTGCCCAACTCAATCCGAGCAGCTGAGTCCTTAGCCATCTTCAAGAATCGGCTAAAAACATCTCTTCCATCTTTATTTGACCCTCTAACTCTAGCACTCTCTATTCTAATTCTATTCTTAAAAAAACGCCCCATTTAGACTTGCACTCTATTCATTTACTAACTGCTTGTTTTCTTAAAAAAAAGAAAAAAAAAAGAAACTAACACTAGCTTCTCTAATATTTTTGTATTCAATCTATTTGTTTTCTGTTATTTATTATACAATTAACAAAAGCAAAAAAAGGCCTCTAACACTAGTGGCTCTATTCGTTGCCTATTCTATCTTTTCATTAAAAATTTTTTTTTCATTTTCTTTTATTTATTATATGATTTAAAAAACTTTGCTACGTGTACTGCGTTAAGCTAACTGAGATTTGTTATAGCTCTTGTATATCATTGCTCTTTTGTTGATTTTGATTGCTTCTATTGTCCTCATTGTAAGTCGCTTTGGATAAAAGCGTCTGTTAAATGACTAAATGTAAATATAAATGTTTACCTGTGTTTGTTTGCACACGTGATGGTCATTGTTTTGTTTTTCCTGAACGTTCATCCATTCACCCCAAATCAAACTCAGAGATGCCTCATCTGTTTTCCTACTACGTGAACTTGTAGAAGAGCATGAAAAAAGTGGAAGTGAAAATGCTAGAAAAGCACTAATGGAAAAACAAGAAAACAAACGTCTGGCATGATCTCAAAATGACTGTCATGCAGTAATGCAACTGTTGTGGAATAATACAACGATGGAATCAGAGCATCTCAAATGGCTTCTGTCGCAGAGCCAGTGTGTGTGTGTGTGTGCACTTGGATGGATTAAATGCAGAGCAGAAATTCTGAGTATGGTTCACCATACTTGGCCACATGCCACTTCATTTTTTCACTTCACTTTAAAAGCGTGTGACTTTCAGAGCTAGTGACAGTATATTTTTATTTCCTCTTTTCTGCCAGGTTTAGGTTTGGCAGTGGATGCTGATCTTGACCTGTCTTTGAACCAGTCCAAATGGAGAGGAATGGCTAGTCCCTTATCCAAACACACACACACACACACACACATTCTACAACCCTACAAATGCTATCAATACACCTGTCTGGTGACTGCAGCAGACAGACAATGAGTGCTAACACAGATATGGTCAAGGGTTGCACTGCTTTTAATGCCTTATTGTTCATATTTTATATATATAAAGCATGGGATTGAGGCTAAGAGATGTTTTCCTGTGTTTGTTTGCATGTGTCTTTTTTTTTCTTTCTGAACGTTCATCCATTCACTCCAAATTAAACTCAGAGATGCTTCATCTGTTTCCCCACTACGTGAACTTGTAGAAGAGCATGAAAAAGTGGAATTGAAAATGCTAGAAAAGCACCGATGGAAAAACAAGAAAACAAACTTCTGGCATGATCCCAAAATGACTGTTTAAAGTAAATCTAGCAGTGTGTTGTGCAGCAATGCAACTGTTGTGGAATAATACAGCGATGGAATCAGAGTCTCTCAAATGGCTTCTGTCGCAGAGCCTGTGTGTGTGTGTTTGTATGCTGGTGGGGCAAACGGAGGGGTGGGGGTTAACATTTCAAGAGACGGAGATGGACAGTGGCAGTGACATCACAAGGACGCTGTATAAAAGCTGAAAGTGGGGGAAAAGTGAAGATCTGAGCTCATTTGAGGAGTTTTCCAAACCCACAACCAGTCACACGCTCTTCGGAGAGGACGCTGATATCGGTAAGGAGCTTGACTGGACTTTCTATTGCTTTGTGAAAAAGTTAAGATACAAATTATTGCCAGCAGACTGTACCTGTCATTCTTAGATATTATTTTAATACTTTAAATGTTTGTAATAGCAACAAAATTAATTTATATGTGATTTCATTTTTAAAAATCATTAAAAAAATAATTTGTAGTAGAATTTGTTTGAGATGGGTGAACTAGTACATTTAAAAAAAATGTTTTACTTAAAAGTGAAATCATAGTTTTCAAGAAGAATTCATTGAGACCGGGTGAAATAGTAAAATAACTGCAGATTAAAAAGTTTAAAATTAAACTCAAGAGAGGGACCTCGCTGAAGATGGCTGCTTAATCTGTTAGCTCCGTGCCAGTTCCCTCCCCCCCATTCTCTTTTGGTTAAATTGACTTAAAATACTTTTATTTAAAGTTTATTGTTCAAACAACAATGTCCGAGACCAAAGAAGCACGAGATTTTTCGCTTTTCACGCCTTCTCGGCCGTCCAGAAATGCAAAGAAAAAACAAGCCGAGACGGAGGAGGCCTCGTCAGATCAAACCGACGCCATTTTGACTGAAATTCACTTGCTAGGAATCAGTTTGGGCAATATTGACGGCAGATTGACAGCCGCTTGGACAGTATTTCTACCTCAGTTACCTCAATACAGGAAGCCCTTTCTAATTGTCTAATTGGCAGAGTGGCGTCAAACGAGTCGCGCTTAACCGAGGCTGAAGATGGCATGCTAATACACGATAGAAGAATCACGTCTCAGGACAAAGAATTAGCATTACTCCGAGCCAAAGTAGACGACCTGAGAATCGTCGGCCTCCCTGAGAAAGCTGAAGGCTCTGAACCTATCGCACAATTTCTCACCAGGGTGTTGCCAAATGGAAAGCCGTTGTAACATTTAATCTATAAGCCGTACTAGTATCTATTTTCATGGTACTAGTACTTATTCTTTAGATACTAGTATCTTTTCCATTAAGTACTAGTACTTATTCATTAGGTACTAGTGCTTATTCTTTAGGCACTAGTGTATTTTGTAAAGTTACTAGTATTTGTTCATTAGATCCTAGTACTTAATCATTAGATACTAGTACTTATTCTTTAGATACTAGTATCTTTTCCATTAAGTACTAGTACTTAATGGAAAAGATACTAGTATCTAAAGAATAAGTACTAGTACTTAATGGAAAAGATACTAGTATCTAAAGAATAAGTACTAGTACTTAATGGAAAAGATACTAGTATCTAAAGAATAAGTACTAGTACTTAATGGAAAAGATACTAGTATCTAAAGAATAAGTACTAGTACTTATTCATTAGGTACTAGTGCTTATTCTTTAGGCACTAGTGTATTTTGTAAAGTTACTAGTATTTGTTCATTAGATACTAGTACTTAATCATTAGATACTAGTACTTATTCCAATAGTGACTAGTATTTAATTATACTCTTCTTGTTAAGAAAAAATAGAACTAGTACTTATTTTTTTAGTTACTAGTAACTTTTTAGACCAGAGATATCCTGAACTTAATAGATACTAGTACTTTTTAAATGAGCATTTCTGCTCAGTATGGTAATCGTATGTTGAATATTAATGAGCCAGCAACATATAGGAGAGAGGTTAGACAAGAAACAGAAACAAGGAGATTGATGCACTTTTCTTGAGGAAACCACATAGAAAGAATCAATTATTTTTACACAAGCACATAGAAAACTTATTTTTGTCAGTTTTGTAAACACTGTAATTTCGTTAACATAAGGCCCTTTCGCACCGCTTTAGTTCCAGAACTAAATGTACAGTACTAAAGTACTGGGACGATTTTGCGCGAACTATTTCCCAGTACTATTTAAAGGGTTGCATTCGCACCGACAGCGTGTACTAAGAAGTGACGTAAGCCGGTCGACAGCGACGTCATTTGTGTGCGGCGTTCAACAACACAAACAAAGAAGAACAACATTAACAACAGGAGGATGGAGGACGCTGTGATCGGAGCTGTTTTTGTTGTGTCTCGCGGGTTTCACAATAATGGACATGGAAAGTCGACGTATACGTAAAGCGATTGAAAGAACGGAAATCTCCAACGACAACTGGCAGTGCTACATTTGATACAAGTGCCTATACTTCAGCGTCTCGAGTGACCTCTAGTGGCAGGATGGAGATAAGACACCAATTTTATTGTCTGTTATTTTCCTATTTTTCCTCCAGTAAAAACAATGAATATCATACCAGGGATGTATGCTAACTTATTTTGCATATAGCACTGGTGCTGCAGACACTGAATGTTTTTACATTAATAT